GGAGGAGGAGGAGGAGGAGGAGGAGGAGGAGGAGGAGGTAGCATTAAATAACCATTCAGTGCCACGTGTGGTGGCACAAGCCTGTAGTTCTAGCACTCAGGAGGCTGAGGCAGGGAAATTGCCATGAGTTTGATGCCAGCCTGGGCTACACAGTGAACCTGAGGCCAGCCTGAACTGAACTACTAGCTAGCAAGACCCTGCCTCAAAAAGCCTAAATAAATAACTATTCGTTCCTTCTTGGAATTTATTACTCCCTTATCTTCAAAGATACTACTCTCTCATAAGTTTCTTCATATCTTTGAAACTATTACTTTTTAGTGTCCTTCCTGGGGCCCTCACCTCCAAACCCTTAAACTGGTGTTTCCACTGTTCTTTCTTTGGCACATTTACTCTCCCCTCTACACTAGCGACGGCCAAATTGATGGAGGAGCATGCCAGAAATACCAAGAGAGCCATTTGCCTACTACCAGTGTAGCCCCTAGGGGCAGTGAGTCACTATTCCTGGAAAGAGTTGTATACTATGGCAGTGTACTTGGAAGACAAAAACTCTGTGAACTCCTATAGCCACTCCCACGGTCATGTACCTTCCATATGCTAGTGATCCTAGGCTTTTACTCATAGCTACAAACTTCCCCAACTTAGGGCTAATAGATCCACTGACTGGTCCTTGTGCACACTGAGCCCAGAGTCCAAAACTGCAATGTCTCCCACAAAACCCTTTGCTCATCTTGTGATGCTTCTGTCACTGAGTCATCATCTGGTCACCAAAGTCAAAACCATGAAGTTACCTTTAATACCTCCCTTCTCCCATGCCTCTCCATATTACCTAAACAAAGACCTTTGAATTAGTCAACTAAATTTTTCTGAAGTTTGTCCCACCTTCTACATCCTCATGATCATGATGAAGTTCAAGCTTTCATCTCTATTAATGAAAGCCTTCCTAATCAGCTTCTCTATCTCTAGCAATGCTTTTCAAAGTGTAGTTGCCAGGCTATCAGCATCACCACTGCCTGGGAACTTATTAGAAGGGTGAAGACTTACAGAATCAAAATCTGGAGATGGGCATTGATAACTGTATTTTCATAAACCATCCAGGTTACTGTAAATCATTTTAAGAAGCACAATTCCAAGCATATCCCCTTAGATTAGTGGTCTTCAACCAGGGTGGACATTACAATCACCATATAAGTTTAAAACAATTTGAGAGCCAGGCATGGTGGCACACACCTATGATCCCAGCACTCAGGAGGTTGAGGTAGGAGGATAGTTGCGAGCTCAAGGCCAGCCTGGGCTATAAAGTGAGTTCAAGGCCAGCCTGAACAGCATAGTGAAACTCTGCTTCAAAAACATAAATAAAATAAAATAGGGCTGGGGAGATAGCTGAGCAGTCTAAGCACCTGCCTGGCAAATGCAAGGACTCAAGTTCCATCCCCAATACTACAATGCTGTACCAGCTGGCACCAGAACCCCAAGCACATTGTGCTGGCCCTGAAACCAGGCATGGTGGTGCATGCCTGTAATCCCAGCACGGGGGAGGCTGAGACAGAAGGATCACTAGAGTCTGAACTGTGTAGTGAGACCTTGTATCAAATAAATAAATAATAAAAAACTGTATAAAATAAAATAAAAGTATTTGACACCTGGTTCTTACACACCAAGTTCTGCATTGATGGACTAAGGTAAATAAATGAGCTAGGTAAAGCTTCCCCAAGTGATTCCAATGTGCATCCAAGATTGAGAATTACTGTTGTAGAACTCATCTTCAGAAAGCCAGAGTGATCTATTGAAAATGCAAATCTGACCTGATTGATAGCTTTCAATATTTGTCATCACATTGAAAAAGTCCAAGCATCTTAGTATAATATTCAATACCCTTGATAACCTAGCCAACCTTAATGCATCAAATTGAGAAAGGCATCACAGTGTAGAAGCTAAAAAGGTGAGCTGGAAGCCAAAGGGTTTGAGTCTACTCCAGAACTCCTACTTACTAGCTGTGAAACCTTGAGCAGGTTACTGAATCCCGCAGTGCTTCGGCATCTACCTATGGGGTAATGGTGAGGACTAAATGAATGAATGAATACTGTACATATAAGCTTCACTAGGACAGCTCGCAACACACAATAAATTATTCAAAAAATGTGAATTATTATTCAATTTATCACCATCTACAGAGAGTCTATTTCCAACTTACAAGTTAGGTTGTAATTTAATCCCATAGAACTGAACTTAACACTTACCCATTTGTATTTATTATCTGTTTGTACACCTATAGTACTTTTCTAATAACTATAATTTCTCTGCAGCTACTAAAATGGTTCTTGATATATAATAAACAGTTGTTCAATGATACTGATAACAGCAGAGAAACTGAACATCATTGTCATAATGAAGCCCAAATTTGTTTCTCTAATAGTATCATCAAATTATATATTTATAATATTTGGTTTCCTACAAAAATAACAACAGAAACTTGCAAAGCAACTGAACAACAGAACAACCCCCAATCAAGTACCAGGATTGAGTTTTTAAGTGACAGGTTTGGTTTTTTTTATCACAGGGTCAATCTCTTATCTCAAGTGGAAAGATGCAAGATACGATTTATTCTACTGATAATTCTACATGAAGTTATTAGTAAAAGCATCTTGCATTCTCAAGCACTTAGATTGGAATGATAAATACTAAGGGCTACTGTGAATCAGCAGGTTGCCAAACAGACAGCTTTCTACCTCAGGATAACTGAAGCTACTAAAAACACACATTATGGTCCTTTCATCTTCAGAATGCTATACAGCAACTAGGAATAAGGAATGAAAACAGGTCTGAGATATCAAAGAAAATTAAAACCATAACCCAAATCCACAGTATGCATACCTTTAAAATACCATCCAAAGTACCCTTATAGAGGTCCACATGTCCCACAATTGCCCTCTGGTTCATCATGCGAGTTCGCACCACATCAACTGGATTGGATGCCAGAGCCCCGGCCAAACCGCATGTAAAGCTGGAACTGAAGATGTAAACTTTAAGAAGACAGACTGCCCTCACTTCTACCTTCTTCTCAGCTTAAATAGAAACTACGCCAAACATAAAGGTACAGTAACTCAGAACCATCAGATAATTCTGGACACTCGTCATCGCATTAAAATCTAAAGAGCAAAGAATTTTTTTCTAACGAGACATCATGCAAAGATTGTCCCTTCAATTTTCAATCTGAAATTTGGCCTTATTTTTTTTTGGTAGGACAGTTTCTTTAATTAACACATTGCATACATTCTTCCTAATGATTAATTGCTGTACAAGATGCAGACATGATATCCTATTTACAAACACTATTAGAACAAATCCCTCTATTCATTAAGAGAATGTAACTATATATCTATCCTAACCACTTTGAATACAAAGATACAAAATGGACATTCATCTGTATCCCCTTTTTTTGTTAAGTTCCGTTATTTGAATATTATAGGTATGTAAACTCGGCAAAATATTCTAAAAGAGTTCAGTAGTACATAATAGTATTGGGTCTTCCACTTCACTAGCAATGTCAGAAATTGTTGACCTGAGTCCCCTACAGCTCACCATAACAGCATGGCTTTACTTCTTATATTCCGTTTTTATACTTTTCTGCTGGATGGTTAAGACCAAGGTAAAGCAGGACCTATGCAACAAGAGTTGTAGCTTTTGGGTCTGATAAGGTCAGTGAAATCCC